ATACATCTTTTCACGGACACATCCCTTCACGGCTGGGGTGCATGGGTCAATCACCAGGAGGCTTTGCATATCAACATCCTTGAGCTTCTCACGGTCTGTAAGGCTTTGAATCAGTTCCTTCCTCTCGCTAGACATTGTCTGGTGATGATTCATTTTGATAATTCTATGGTGGTAGCACATACCAATTACCAAGGGGGCACCAAGTTGAGATCTCTCTATTTTTGACCATTGGATCTACTATATTGGACCCACATGCACCACATTAGTCTCATTGCATGTCATATTCTGGATGCTTTCAATCTTGTAGCAGATAGTCTTTTCCACCCCAACCAAATCTATCCGACAGAGTAGCCTTTAGATCCCCTCATTTTGTGGTGGCTTTGCTGTTGGTGGGGTTTTCTCCACGTAGATGCATTTGCCACATACCTCAGTCACAAATTACCCCTTTTTTGGTCCCTGGTACCTCATCCTAGGACTCTGGCTGTTGATGCTTTCAGCCAGGATTGGTCCCCCAAATTTCTTTATGTTTATCCTCCTATCCAATTATTTCATTGGGTGATCTCTCTCATCCATACCACTCTGTGTCGAGTCCTTCTGATCACTCCTTATTGGCCAATTTAACTGTGGTTTCCATGATTACAAAAACTGCAACTTTTTCCTTCAGTACCTCTTCCTTTATCTCCCTTTTTCATCAACCTTGGTCACCGGTTCTACATCTGGCCATTCATGTCCTTTGTCTTCACAGCTGACTTTTATCCAGTCCTTGAAGAGGAGCTCAGGTTTCTCCTGTTGAATAGCTTTCCTTTTAGCTTGTTTCATACATCCTTCTTCAATGAAGGTGTATCAGCACAAATGGAAAGTGTTCCACAGTTGGTCTGTGACTCGGGGATTCCCGGCTGACTGACCTAATGAGGCTCGAGTGGCGGAGTTTCTCACATGGCTTTTCAACCAGGGGTCTTCTTTCTCTTCGCTCTTAAGTTATCGGGCTGCCTTATCCCATACCTTTTGTTTTTTCCGATACTTTCGAGTTTTTGCTTTCCATGTCCTTACCATGCTAATGCATTCCTTACAGATTCCTCGTCTCCTCAGATGGCCTACTCTTTCAGATTGGGATATTATTGTGGTCCTCCATTCCCTCATATTACATCTGTTTGAACCACTTTCCTTGTGTTCTGTGTTTCACCCTTTCCTTAAAACATATTTCCTTCACCTTCTGATTTGTTTGTCACTGATGTTTCACATACGCTTTACCACCCTACCTATCTTCTCCTTTATCTGGATTGTTCCTTTCCTCCCAAAGACCTCGGTGGCTAGGGAGGGTAACTCCTCCTTTTTGCCTGTTTCCTTTCCTTCTGTATCTCATCTCTACCCTCATTCTGATCTGGATAGGCCTCTATGTCTGGTACGTGCTCTTTGTTGTTATGTTGCCTGCATGGTTTCTTCTGTGGTACCTGTTCCCAACTATTCATACCTTGGTAGTCTTCCTCTGTTCGGAATCTTCCCCTTTCTACCCTCACCAACTGGGTTTGACTTTTGATTCAATTGTTTATTCCTCCTTGTCTTCTTCCTCCAAGAATTTGTTCCAGGTGTCTTCTCATCAGATATGCCCATTCATTTGCCATTGGAGGAAATCTTACAGTCAGGTGTGTGGACTACACCTAATATTGCGGTTTCTTCTTCCTCGGGTTTTCGTCTTCCACCTGTGGCTGTTCTTCATGCTTCAGTGCAACTTTGACTGGGTAAGTTTATATTCATACTTTTCTTTTCAGGGGCCCTTGCTTCATTTACTCATTATATGGATCCCACACTGTGGTGAATGGTGCCTGACCAGGTATTCTTCAACTTAAAATCTGCACTGTACAGCCATGTTGACTCGAGCTTTATGTTCCATGTCTTTGCTATGCTCTCTGTTGAGATGGGGTGTTTCACAAGATCACTTGTAGGTGAATAACCTCACGATGTAATTGCTTCATAAACTTGCCAGTTCTGGACCATACCACCTATGGATTGGTAAAGCAGAAGGGAATAGTTGCCCATCCCTGCCATGTCTTGTATTGAATAAATCGGTGTGGTTTGCTTTTCAAAATAGTGTTTTGCTGTCACCAGTTGCACTGCCTCAGGTGATGATGTTCCTTCAGACTCTCCACTGCATCCTCACCCCAATTTGTTCTAGTGGAGTATGGGAGCCCTTACCACTTTCCAGTTCTAAGCCGCTAGGGTGGTTGACCATGGAGGCACCCTCCAGAATGGGTTCCATACAAAGATGGCTATAACCATTCAGTGCAGTGTAGTGCAGTAGTGTTCTGCAGCTGTAGATGATGTGCTATTCTCCATGATGCAATATACACTTACAAAGGAGTGAGACATCAAATTACAGTTCACCCCTTCAATTGGAAGCCCTCATCCTACCCCCCCATGTGGATGTTAGTACCATATGGCTGGGTTTTTGATTTAGAGTAGAACCAATCAACATGTTTATGGTTGTCTATATTCTTCCCTCAATCATACTTTTTCTGTGTTGTGGGTCACAGTAGACGTAAGGGGGATTGTTCTGGTTCTATCCTTTTTGTTATCCCTCATTGTATCTTAATCTAAGCAAGTTATTAGTTTTCGGATGGTTCTGGTCAGTTTCGCTGTTGGGGGGAGTTAATTGATATTATATAGACATCCTTTTTATACCGGATGTTGGGCCCCCAGATCCAACCTAACGCATGTGTCATGTTTAGGAGTCAGAGTGGTTGTAGATCCCCCCCCAACTTGGTCTCTTTAACTTGAGGTGAAAACAGTATGATCCTCATCCTACTCCTGCATGGATGTTGGTTCCTAGCAGCATGGGTTTTGGATGTAGTTGACTTACTGACTACCTTCTGTCTTTTCCTAGCCACTCTACACCTAGGGGCACATCCATTGTTTTACCCACTTTTTTACTTTGTGGGATTGAGTTCTCTCCCATTTGGATGTGCTCCTCTCTTTTTCTGCCCTTATCTACAACACATTTCACCGATGGGTGAAGACTACCTGCTTCAGAAGTGGTGCAGTTCTTCTAATCAGATCTTCCGATCTGATTCTTTCATTTCCAGGGGTATCCATTGGATGCTTTTGGGAGATACTTCTGTCATTCTCTCGTATCGGTCCCATCACCTAATCAATGTGGGATTCTAGCTAATCTTGTGAAAAGAGGGAAGTATCATATCAGAAGTTATAATTTTCCTATACTGAAAATGTATTCCCATTAGGTACTTCCTCTTTCTCACACTTCCCACCCTTCCACCCCACGTTCCTCCGGTGCTTACGTCTTCTACCAAACCTCAAAGTGATAGTTTGGGAGAGGCATATAGAAGGAGTCACATGCTTCATGTATGTCATGCTTCTATTGGTGGAGAAGTGATGCATGATAATTTACATGAGAGACATGTTGGATTCATTTGATTCCAATAGAGGGTAGCAAAAGGCTTGTGACATGTTTAAAGAAAAAATTTGCATATAGACGGCAGCACTGGAGGAGAATGGCTAATCTTGGGAGTGGAGGGAAGTACCTGTCTGAAATACATTTTCCAGAATAGGAAAATTATAACTTTTGTAAGACTCCTTTGGTGGTGTGTATATACATACATATTCAGTCTTCCAGGCTGTTTTACACTTGACAAAATAAAAAGCACTAGGTGTGTGCTTGCCAATATACTGTCTCTCAATGTGGGGCCTCATTCCATATGATTATATTAAATAATGACCAATCCACGCACCTCTCTAGTGTTCTCCCCCACTCAAATTTCTCCCTTCATCTCTTCTAATGTAGTACTGGAGAAAACATTATTCCTTCATCCTAAACTGCTGGAAAAGTTGGTATGTAAAGTTCCTCATTGGGCAGTGCAATCCCACTGGTAGGAGACCAAATGGACACGCCCCATGTTTGGGAAGTAGGACAGTGGCAATACTTGGTAGTGTAGAACAAAATACCCCACTACATTATGAACCAAGCCATTCTTGGTGGTAAGGTCCAGCCAGATGATTCTTGAGTTTGCCTGGGATGCTACTCCCTGCACCTGAATTTTGAGTGAGTATCTCACATAAGTATTTCTCCAATATGGAATGACTTGACATATAGCCCTAGCCCCACTACACACTTATACTCAGCTATCTGTTTGTGAGATGATGGATGGTTGAGCAATCTGCCATTCCACCCACCTTAGCAGCAAGGAAGAATCCAGAAAAAGATTCTTACAACAATATATTTTTCCCTACACTTCTATTGGTTGAAGAGTCCTCTTTGCTTGATATGAATGCAGTCTCCCACTGAATGCTGTCCCACTAGGTTATCCCCTGTCTCGAGGATATTACATTTCATGGGCTTTCCTTTTCTGACGTTGTTTGCAGAAAAGAACTTTTCTTTGCATTGGAATCTCCACCTTGTCAGTGTAGGATTCTAGCTCTTTTTTGGTACAGAAAGGTGAGTAATGTTTCTGAAGTTAACATTTTCTTTACCTGAAAATGTATTTCAAGATAGATACTGTTCTCTCTACCTCCCACCTTTCCTCCCCACTTCCAGTGCATTTAGTTTGTTTTGTCAAGAATGAACTTGTTTTCACATGATGGTGCGTGTGGAGATTACTGTGCATGGAGAATGTGTGACTCTTCTGTTGTGGAGGGCTATAGTTTAATGATGATTACATCATAGGCTGGTGTAATACATGTTGACATGTGTGGGTGGGAGCTTGAATCAAGGCTTGTTACATGCACAATGCCCATAAAGTAACAGGTATTTGTGGTGTAGAGAGGAGAATATCTATCTGAAATATTGTTTTAGGGAAGGAAAATGTCAACTTCTATTCTTAAGTGCTACATGTAAAATCTTATCACAGATAGCAAAATTAGTGAGATTCAGTCTGAACCCAAGAGCTAATACTAAATTAGATTTATATGTACTTCTTCCTGTTGAAATACATTCATAATATATTTATGTCCAAAAGTTTTTAAGTTTCTAAATTTTATGTTTATTTCAGTCTTTGTCCAAAGACAGTGACTCTCTAATCCAGAGTGATATCTACAACTCAGAAAAATATGATTCACAGAAAGGGCAAGTAATATTTTATTTGTAGCCTATGTGCTTTGGTATATCTAATATTTTAGATTATTAAGTTATTTAAATTTGAGTTATTAGGTTTATTATATTGTTTCTTTAAATTTGTACTTATGAACTTTTGTTTATTTCAATATACAAAGATCTATTCTTGTGAACTTAGGAGTAACAGTACAACTGTATTTTTTTAGACTTGTTACTGTACGATTTACGTTGGTGTTTTCTAAATACAGTACAGAACTTCAAACTGTTTTTTGTGAAGGTGAGTAAAGTTTTTGTCTTACAACAAATTTAATGCAATACTTTCTACATAATCCTGACACAAGTTTTTATTGGTGTAGCTGGTGGAAACATCCACGTGTTCAAGAAAATTGGAGAGTGATGCTTGCTGCATTTGGTCTTTTAATAATTGGTCTTGGTAAGTCCATATAATTAATTTCAATTTCATTTTTTCTTTACATAGGTTTAACTTTTCAAACTTGTTAAATAGTCTCAAATACTACACCTCATAAATTGTTGGTGTTAAATTATGTACTTGGTTTGGTAAAGGACAGATAACCTTTAGCTTACTAAGCTGATTATTATATTTTTCTTTATTTTGTAGTCAAGATGTTAAATGCAGATAAGTTAGCTAAGAACATTTGAATTTTGTATCTTAGTATAACTAACCAAAAAATCTGATTTTTAGTGCATTATGTATATGTTGAAAATGCCTCATCCTGTTGCACTAGATTATTGAAAAAATCCAGTTGTTTTTTGAAGAAAAAATTACAAGGTTTTCCTTTAAAATTATTTCCAACTAAGCAAATATTTTTCTGGTTAGTAGATAACTCAATTTACAAACATCAGTATATAGTGAGGGAATGTAATTATATTCTATGATGGATAAGGAATGTTTTTATTACACTTATATTTATGGATCAGTAGGTCTGTCTTTGGTTTCATGATAAAAAATTTTGTTTTTTAGAGTATGCACAATTTAGTACTGTACATGTACTTGTAATATTCTCAACAAAGTAAAACAAATGAATAACTGGAGTGCTATCAACTACTGTTTGCTTCTCTCTTGACTTGTTTTTGTTTGTATTTGTCATGATATAAAAGACTGTTTGGATTAAATATTAGTGATTAATTTATATTTGTGAGTGAATATTTTTATCATTTTTAAGTTTTGATATAATAAGAGTTAAATGCAGACGACTGTAGAAGGTTTTGTTAATAACCAATTGGTATCAAGAATATAGAAAGTGGCCAGACGACTATGTAATAAAGATATAAATACCGTGAGAGGAGCGGGAAGCAGTAGACAGACAGCAATAGACAGATAATAGCAAAAGAGAATATAGTTGTGTGAAGTTAAGTACCGCAAAGGTGATAGGCCTAACGTTTAATATGTTAGAGTGAAACTAACAGTATAAAAAAAAAGATAATGTCACAGACACCCATTGTAGAAGAATCCTAAGCCCAACAATAACATATATTTATACTATTAAGAAATATAAGTAAAAGCCATTTATTCCGACAATTGGCAAAAAGAAGAACTTGTATATATACATTATATTTCAAATCTGACAATAACAAACATGCAGATCAAGTTATTAACATTTTGCTATATCTGAAAAAGCTAAATAATAATAAGCTTAGGCTATCTTTCTCATTAAACATTAATATGAGGTTTTACAAATATTGTTAGAATCCTTAGTGTTGACTTCTTCTTAGGAACAAGAGAATGTTTAAAAACATCCAAGAAGATTTTGTTCAACTTGTCTTTGTGCTTTTAGTTACTATAGTTTGAACTATAACTGTTTTGATTAATAGTAAATCACGCATATAGTTTTTAAGTTTGAATTGGCCAGTTTAGGAATTTTACTAGATAAAAACATACAAGTTACTTTCTGAGCATTAAGATTCAAAACAGTGTAGCAAATGTAAAAGAAAAAGTTTGTCACTTATTTAGTTTATATATTAACAAGCAATCTCTGACTCAAAAGCAGATTCAGAAATCTAGAAGCCTAAAAGTGAGGTACATAGATATGTTGGTATGATATAGGGATTATTTTACTGTGTTTTTTTCTTTGATCCAAGTAGTTGTTAAATTGTTTCTTTCCTACCAGTGTGGACTACCTGCTTGCTAATGGTCATGGCATTTTGCCACTATTTTGGTACTGCTTTTTCCTTTCATCCTTGTAATATTTTTGTACTTCATTCAGAAAATGTTTTTTTAATTTCTGTTCCTTACCTAAACTTGAATTATTCTCCACTTTGGCATTGTTGAGACTTGCACAGTGTTGAATCACCTCTCTCTCTTTCTCATCTGAGGGCAAGTCATCAGATACACTTCCTATATGCAGGGATACTTCTTTTTTGGCACTTGAGAGCACCTTCTCTGACTGCTCTTATAGCTAACTTTTTGAACAACTGGTGTGCCATTGTGGTCACATACACACCTGCTAAGCTTGTAACACCTCAGAGATTTTTGTCACTTTACATTTGCAGATTAGCTTGGAATCTGACTACTTTTCCATCTTGCCAAGAACAAATACTCAGAGATTCTGGCCCTTTGTCTCAGCAGTTCCTCACAAGTTTCACAGAAAGTTTGGGAATGGTGAATGGTCTATAGATTATGTTCTACAACAATGTCATGTGACCATTATCTGAATCACACAACTCTACTGATAAAAGTCAGTCATAACTTTTTCTAATTTTATCCAATTATAAATCAGTTTAAACCTCTAGGTACCTTATATGCATATTCCTGTACATTTTCAAAAAAAAAAGACTAAATACCAGATATGGCTCCTACAAGCTTCCCTACCATTTCTTCTGCTGTTAAGTTGGATATTCCTTGTTAATTGTTAAGAGCATCATCTAACCTCAGGTATTGCCAAGATACAAGTTGTGATGTTTGGGATTTTTTTTCTTGGTTTAATTTAATCAGTTAAAAATACATTTATGCAATTATTAAGAAAACTTTTGTTAATTTAATTTGAATCAAAAAATTTTACGGTAAGGTATATATTTCACCTACTATAAGTGTTAAATAGTGATATTTTAAGTTATTCATTTGACTGTGCTTAACATTGTACAATCACTGGCTGGATGCATGTGTTTAGCTGTGTAATATTAGTTTTGATTTCTCTCTTTGTTTATTTGATGTATATATTTTTTAAATTTCATTAGGTCTTCTTATAACTGGAATTGTGGTACAGATAATGCCTAAAGCTGGTAAATAATTTTTTGTTGTATATAAATTAGATAATTTCTTTAGCATATAATAACCATTATAGGAATTCATATAAATTTAAAATTTTGTTTTGGAATTCTGTATCCCACCTTCCTCATATCATGTACATTCAAATCTGTATATGTTTTCTTAAGTGAAGATTATTAACTCAGAGAAATTTATAATCATATTAAATGAGTGAAAAATAATGTTATAGATTTATCTTTTGTCTCCACAAACCATTGTGTAGGATGTTTCATGCTTTTATAACTTATACAAAAACTGAACAAATAGGCTATATCTATAATAGCATTAAGTCTAACTGAAATACTATTTAGATGGAGAGTAAAATAAATCATTTATTTTAAATATTTTTTAAACTCTTCTACTGTTCCATTACCTGAGCTCATGAAACTTGTTTCTCAATGATGGTTCATAGATCATAAACAGCCAGTCCTGAGCATACTTGCAGGAAAAGTAAACTTTTTACATTATTTTTAATTGATAGTGGTTCTGTTATGTTGCATTTTTTAGCTTTTGTGTTACTTTGTTCTTTATTTATTGTATTAATGTGTTATCATTCCTTTTTATTTGGGACTTCAGTATTTTATGTAATGCTCAGATGTTGTATATATAATGCTAATTTTAATCTTGATATTGATCTATTGGGCTTGTTGCTCTGCATCTGATCACATCAAGGCTGAGATGAATTAGCTTTAGGAAGTTTTTTTTAGCTCTTTATGCACATATGTAGGCTTCTTGAGTTATGTTTTTGGCTTGTAGTGGTTGCATTAATTCACATTCTCTTTATAAGTGTTTATGTCATAATCAAGGTGTAGGTGTATATCTGTGAATTCAAGAATAAATTATAACCAAAAAAGTAATTGAAAATGATGGATTTTAGAGATAATTAACTAATTAGTATTTAGGGTTATAAGTAAGAAAAATCTGGCTTACTCCTTTTCTTTTTTACCTTCGCATATTGCTATTCTTATTTTCTCATCTTACGATATGGGGTTGATGTAGTCATTTTCAAGGTTTGTGTTTATTGTGTTCCTGTTGTAAAGCTGGCTATCAACTTTCTCTTAGGAAGTCTTCCCCCCCCCCCTCCCCACACACAGATGATCTATGAGTGGGATTTCTTGCACTTCATGTATTTAGGTCCAATTTGTTTCGAATAAATGACATTGTATAATATCAGTACTATTTGGAAACATTTTTATTAGCTTGATATTTTGAACAAAATGACCTGGTGGTTAGGGTACTCGATTCGCAACCTGCAGGTTGTGAATTCAAATCTCATCATCAAATATGTTTGCTCTTTCAGTCATGGGACCATTTTAATGTTCTGGTCAATCCACTATTCACTGTTAAAGAGTAGCCCAAGATTTGGTGGTGGATGGTATTAGCTAGCTGCCTTCCCTCTACTCTGTCACTTCAAAATTAGGGATGAATAACACAGGTAGCCCTAACAGCTTTGTGCAAAATTCAATAAACAAACAAACTCACTCTACATTAAAGCTGTTGGTAAGTTTGTTTCTGGTATTCTTCACAAAAATTCTACAAATATTAGGATACAAGTCTGGAAGAAAGGTGGAAAGACACTAACAATTAAGGATGGAATAGATTAAAAATGGTGAATTTATAAATGAATAATTACAGATGATCTCATTGGTTCCATTAGTGTTTGCATATCATTCTAAAAACACTAGGATTAAAGACATCTTGAACAATTACAACATCCTGCAGGATACCATATTGTAAAGGAATCTCATTATGTTTTACAGACACAATAATATCAAGGATTTATTGATGAAATTTGGTTGAATGGACAGCAACTGCCTGTTGTAGAAACAAGTATAGAGGACAATGTTTCTACAATGTTTGGTGATATGAAGGGTTTCTGAGGTTGGAAACATGGATAAACCAGACAATCATAATTCACTAGAATACTATAAAGACCAACAACACCATACACACACTGATCTGAAGATGAAAAGTGGAAGATTTTTGAAACGTTGTCTTCTATACTTGTTTTTCTACAACAGGCAGTTGATGTCCATTCAGCCAAATTTCATCATGAATACCCTGCCTAAACAATCTATCAAAGAGTTTTATTTTTGCTTCATTATGAATGACTGCTTCATTCTTTTTTACATATGAGCTGAATTTTGCCATGGAATTTCTGTTCACCAAAGTGTATTAGGTTTTTTTTTCAGAATCCCTTAGTGCCATTTTCATTCCACCTAGTTTTGAGCTGATGCTATGCATTGTAGGATTCAGGCACTACTTAAACATTTTGTTTATTTTAAGGTGTCATGTTTTAATCCTTGTTTTCTAAGATTATGCAGTTTCTTTGCTTGCTTTTTAAAATATTTTTTCTTTTTGTTGAGAAAGCTGTTTTCTCAGTAGTGCCCCATTTTGATGTGTTTGGTTTCTCTACATCCTTTGAAATTGTGGTATTATAAAGAACAATTGACTGAAAGGTAATTATTAAGTATCAATGTATAGGTTGCTCCTTTTTTGGTGATGGTTTAACTCTTGTTGACACATGGCCTAGGCCTCAGTTCACTTGGTGACCTAGATCTGACAGTTCTTCGACCATTGCTCTATGGAGTTGATGTCCAGGTCTTCTGGGATGACAGAGAGAAGCATCTGCAGCACTTTTTTTTGCCCATTTTAAAAGATGGGAAGACTTTCTTTGGGTTGGAGATGGGGTGATGTTGTTTAACATGAAAACCATCTTATACCTATGCTGTTCTGAAAACAAACATCTTTCCATAGTACAGTGCTCTGATGCTTATTCTTCTTTGTTGGTACTAATATTGCTTTGGTAGAGATTAAAGAGGTCAATGAAGGGGCTATTTTGGGAGCACTAGCATTGTTTTGCTTTTTCTAGACCATGGTGACCAGTAGTGATTTTAAGGTTGTTGAGGTCAAGGACTTTGGCTACTGACATTTTGGATCAGCCACCAATGATATCAGGTTCAGGCTACTTAGAATGGTACTTTATGGTAGAGAGTTTCCAGGAATCACTCGAAGCATGTATAAATCCTTGACACCTAATAAGAAGACTTCTTTTTTTGGCTTGGAAGTTTTTTGCTATCAGACCCATTTCACTGGTCAAAACAAAGTGACCAATGGTCAAGAATCATCACTATTTATAGTAGAAGTCAGAAATGAAAACATGGCAATTCATCTTCTAATAGGTCAGAAGTCAAGTTAGAATGTAGAATTAAGTATCCCAATCAACTACAATTTGTTGTTGGATAAGTTGCTATTCCAGAGGCATAATATGGGCCTTTCCATAAAGCAGGAATATTTAATGTACTTATCCCACTATTGCAAGAATGTGCTACCCCAAACACTTCTATTGTCAAATCTTTCAAGCTTATGTGGGACATCGCAGACACATTTACATTAACCAAACGCACAATTGTGCCACATTCCTGACAAGGCCTTACTGAAAGCTCACTATAGTCATAGCACATACATAAAAGATTCTGCCACTAATGGGGAATTTTTTCCAATGATGAGTGCTTTTAAGCTATGTTTTGTAAATTGTTTATTCACACTACCTGCATGTTTTTGGAAACAAATTAAATATAATTTTAGTAAATAAGTAAAACCTTGTGGCTTAAGAAATCCAGAATTTCATTTAAATTGCCAACATGTCATGTTAACTATGAATATTTATATTACTATAAATATTCATAGTTAACAGGACATTTGTGTATAACAGCCATAGAAACAATATTGAAATAAGATATTCAGTAATACTTGCAAAGTTCAAAATAGTTAAATTCTATAAATGAAATATGTTAGAAAAAAAAAACTACTAGAAAACAATAGGTACACTATTTTATCTCTTGTTACAAACAAACCAATAACCATGACATCACTTTATAAAAAAAAAGTTGTAAAAATGTTAATGTTCCAGTTGCCACAAGTACAAAATACTCTTTCACCAATGAAAACAATGAGTCCATGTTTCTCACTTGGTGTGCTTTATCCTGGTAACACTTCATATGAAAAACTGCATACTTATGAACATTTTGGTTAAAAAAATAAAACAAACACATTGTTTACAATAATTGGACAAACACAATATCTTGTTTTTCTATTAATGTGGTCTATACTAATTATTGCACATCTTTTTATTTGAGCCATATTCTTTGTGTGAAAATTTTGCTCTTGTTTAATTTACGTTTGTGTACATAATTGAATATACACAAATTAGTTAATATGTAATAAAAGTTACACATCTATTAACATGCAGACACACACACACACACACACACACACACACACCTAGTTTAAAGTTGTTTGTATAGAGAAGATCTCCCAGAGAAGGTTTGAACTATACAGGTTACCATCTGTAGGATTAAACCTTTCACTCAAGTGATTATTATACTTGACCCGTGAAAGAGAGGAGAAGATCCTGATGGTTAGTGGTGTTTGGGTGACTGCAAAATATAACTTTCACCTTGGAATCTTTTAAATAGTTGGCCCTAAGTTGGGTACTCTGAGGTTATTTGGCTGGTCAGTAGTAGCTATGGTCAGTTGAGCATTAGTGGCAGGCATTCCTGAAGAGTGTATTGGACACTATGAATAATATTAGTATTTATTTATATTACTTACAGTGTCTTTGCATGTACTGTTGTATGGTTTGACTGTGTAACATGTCCCCATGTAGGGTTCCATGGTGGATAGAGACTTCCAAAAAGCCAAGTTTGATTATTCTGACCCTTTCTTCTTCTCATCTGCCTGCTGCTGTCAAAGTACAAAGTAGGTTACCTCAGTTGTCTTGTTCAACCATATATTTCAAAGCTGCTATGATGTTTCAACTGCTAGCAATTTGGGCATTCAAAATTTCATTTTTTTTGTTTTATGTGTGCCTGTTGTGGTGATAAGGCTCACAACAGTAATACTGAACTGAGCTCTTGTTAACTGTAGTGGCTCACACCTTTCTTTGTTTTAGTCTTCCCTTTAGTGATTGGTGCAAAAAGATGTAAAAAATGTGTAAAAATGTCAAAAAGCATAAATGTACAATGAGGCATGTGAATTGGTCTCAGTCCCACTCTACAGAAGCTTCATATCATCCCATTGGTAAGAAGACATTTTTGAAACCTGTTGTTGCCATCAATATTGGTCAGTTTTTGTTAATATGTTTCATGAGGGAGTGATATTGCTGGTCATCTCTTCATGCCTAGCACACCTTCTACACTACTGAATGTTGTTGCCATCCTTATCTTAGTTGGCCAGGCTATCAAGTAATGGTTCCTTATTCTGTCATCTGGGGAAAAGACTTCTTAAGCAAACCTAAATAGACACAGCCCACTCAAGTATAGTGCAAATGTACATGAGATATGTGGGTATATAAAGTATCTGGTATATGATCCACAATGTCTCCCTTATCAATTCTGGTGATTACATTTATTTCCATATACATTAGTCAGTTTTTTTATTGTTATACATTTTTTCACCTTGTCTCTTCTCTTTTGCTTGGAAAGTGGACACAATGATTCATAAGGCAGTAATAATCTTCTCATTATTATGAGTGAGATTGGCCATGATCAGAACTAATTGAATCCTGCCATGGCAGAAGCTGGAGATGACTGACTGGATTTTCTTACCACTCTCTGAGAACTTGACCTAGTTATCTTTAACCGACCATCTGTCAAAGGCTGTATGGAAGCAGTGTCAGATTATGATCTGACACTGCTTTCCATACAGCTGTACTTATAATTTATTACAACATATCACATTTCTTAAAGTTCTCATCCATGGCGTACTCTTGACTGCCAAGCAGTACATTTGGCTCAGACATGAACCTAGAGAATCTTATAGAGATATTACTCAATAGCCTTTCAAAAGGCTCATGCATGTGACTGGCAGCCCAGACATCAAAATGAAAAGGAGCCTTAGGTTAAATTTGCTTCTAGTTTCTTTTTAACCACCATTTCCAAGGTTGTCTTGGGCAAAATGTGAAAGGTGCATGGGAGATGTACAATCCATGCCTTTTAGATCATGTAATCCAGTGGTCAAGAAATGGCCAAAACCTTTGGAGAGTGCTTTTCCTATCATCCAGGCACCTCCCCCTGTTTCCCTGACTTGTTGACCATGAAGACACAGGCCAGTGAAACCCCGCTTTCTTTTTGGCCTGATTGTCTTATGGATTGTAATATACCATTTACAGTTGTGGAACTTGGAGGGCTTTTACATTGGTCCAGCATTAGATCTTTTAGGCTAGATAATATTCATTATGAGAAGCAACATCATGTCTCTGTTTCTCTTGGCCATCTTCTGATTTCAATGTTGTCATTACTTTATTAAAGCTCAGAAAATATTTCAACATTCCTTCAAATTATGGACTTATTGCTTTGACTAATTATCTGTGTATGTTTTGGAGATGATATTTAATGCTCATCTTGTTGATTTTTGCAAACAGTAATTCACTTGTTTGATCAGAAACATCAATCTGAAAAGTCCCTCTGAATGGGGGAGCATCTTGAGAAGACTTGTAGTTTGTTAAGAATACATAATCTTAGAGCATTATTGCTTTGTTCGTGCCTGATGTCAATGGTAAAATTACAATAGAAGATTCACATTTTTGTGTTGTAAAATACTTTTTAAAACTGAAGAGGTTAATGATAGAGACTTAGACACACCAAAAGGTAAAAATATCTGAAACAACAAGCATCTTAGTGACATTAATAATGTTTGTGTTAAGTAGAGAAAATTAAAAGTTAATACTCCCATTTTTCAAAAATACATGTAGATTACTTAGTAAATAAAAACTTATGTCAATAAAGAAAACAATTCAACTTAAATGAGTTGAAAGAGACATCATGCATGCAGTTTCCAATTGCTATCTGATACAAAAAAGTGCACAAGTTTCAGGATTTGTATGTTGTGAAAATTTATTCCATTTATTACCTTGTAGTCACATGTTACTATATGTAGGCTGATCTTTTTTTTTTAACCAACGAATTGGATTGGATTAAACAATGTAGCCAGTGGTTTTTGATTGAAACTTTTGAAATTAATAAAATTCAGACAGATTTTGTGAAATTACTTTCTTGCTATCCAATTTAATGTACAAAGGCTAATGAATGTCAACTTGAAAAAAAAGTTCTAGACCTACTTTTTTTTTATAAACTTCCTTAGTTAACTAAATGTAGTGTACATTTGTTTAATGTAATATGTTAAAAAATGTAAATAAATATATCTATTGTCTCATTATCTGAGAATCTGAAATAGCTTTTTTTATCAAGTTTTTATTGGTGTATTTTGCATTAATTAAATGTGAATGTTATTATAGTTATTTTCTTCTTGGTTTTCAGGAATTCAGAGTTTTGTGTTCTTCATTGCTGGATCTATTTGTTTAATACCAGGAGGTAACGACATGTTTTTGCTGTGCAACTCATACTGACTAAGAATGATTACTGTATCATGTACATACATGTATTTATTTATCCATGTGTTCAAAAATATCTCATATTCTTTCAGATTCAGAGTACACATTTTGTCTTATTGTTATAGATGTTCCTGGCAGTTATACTTTCCAATTAGCAAGTTTTAATTTGAAAGTTAATGATGTTCCAAAACATACTTGCCATCTGCTGACACTTGTATCTATTACTCGACCTCCAGGATTTCTACTTCTTTGACCATCTAAGCATTAGTCTGACTTTTTCTTGCTTGTTCCAGTCTTTATACTCCACTCAATTGCCCTTTGCAATATTTGTCTCATGATACTCTCCCCTCACATTATGGCGCCCTCTATCATGGTACTGTATATAAGCACTTCATTCAGATAATATTATCACTTTTCCCCGACAAAGCATTTGATATATGTTTCTTTACAGGAATGCTGTGATTGTTAATGTCTCAGGTTGTGAATTTAGCATCACGTTGTGGTTTTCTGCACAATTATATTTTACTATTAAGAAAAAACAAACAAAAAAAGAAATGCTTTGACACCATTTTTCAGCCATAAATTCCTGAGTTAATGTTTTCAGCACAGAGGCTAACCAGGCCTCCCCTATTCCACCCTTGTTATCTGGGGTCTCTCAACAGTTGATGGGAGGGGTCACTCTCAGTTGAGCCTGTCTGTGATTTGATTCACTGTGAGATGGAGACATGTATTCGGACCATGGGTGTCTCTCCTGGCAGTTCTGTAGCTGCTTTTGCCAATGGTCCTGAACATTCTGGGGAGAATTTCGACTTGCTATTTCAGGCACCTTCATTTACTATGTTGGTTTCTTACAAGACCAATTTTGATCAGCCACCTCCTGCTCCTTTTCTTTAGTTTGTCAGTTGGGTTTGCGAGGTTTTGGGGCTTTCCCTGGTTGCCTTTGAGTCTAGTCCTTCCTTGATGGTGGAAAGGTCTGAGGGTGACTACTTAGTTTTCCTCATTCACCTGATATTGCTGTTCATGCTGGGAGGTTTGCCACTCAATTATGTTATGGGATAGCTATGCTTTGTCTCCCACGTTTGTTGGAACAGCATGCTTTGGCTTATCACTGCCAGGAGGATGTATATTTATATTCCATATGACTAGAATCCCTTTTGGACCTATGATCACTTTGAACAGATCACAATTTTCACAGAATTGTCTGACTCTCATGACTGTCCTGAGATATTTATCTTCCCTCCAACATTTGTCAGAACCCTTTCAACGTTTCCCACATCAATTTGAGGATGAGTTGGGGTCTTTGCCGACTTCTGCTACGGTCAGATTATTGTCTTCTGTTCTTTCTTTGGTTTCCTGGTGTTGTTGGGATTTATTAGGTAGAGATGCCTTGTTGGAGGGAGTTCGTTTACTTGCTGTCGCACTCCGTGAGTTATGGGAGGTTCCCTTTCTCCATCATTGCTGTTTGCTGGCATTCCATAGGCATTGGAATCATGGATTGATGTTGCCCATTTGCTTTGTTCCTTATTGTCATTGGCCTCTTGACCTTCTTCTGCCCCAGCTGGAAGTCTGGGCATGTCGACTCATCTCCTGTCCTGATCCCCAACCTCAGTTTCTTGATCTGTTGGTTCTCACAATAGATTCTGTCCTTATCCTTGAAGGTCCTCTGTTTGGGCAGACTGGCACCAATGGCATTGGTGCCTATCCTATGCTGGTGGGGTCTGTGGGAGCATGATTATATCATTTTCTAGACATCTGGACTTTCTTCAGTACAGATCTATGGGTACTCCATGTTCTGGCTTCAGGGTTGGTAATTCAATTTATATCTCCACCTCCATTATCCTCCCAACCTGTGGCATTTCCACCTCCAGCAGATCCGCAGAGAGTGGATCTTCGTTCCCAGGCTAAAAGGGAGTTGTTAGCCAAGGGGGCAATAGAGAGGGTCGATCTCGTTTTTCTGGGATTTTATTCCTCTTTATTTGTTATGCCCAAGAAGACAGGAGATTGACGTCCTATCATCAATCTTTCTCAGCTCAACCAGTTCTTGGATTGTTCTCAGTTCACAGTGGAGTCCTTTCTCAGCCTATGATGGCATTTTTTCACCAGGTCTTTGGATAACCAAGTTTGACGTTACCAACGCGTATTTCAACATTCCGATAGTGGAGTCAGGTTTTGCAGTTCAGGGCTCTTCCTTTTGGCCTATCATCTGCACCATATGTCTTCTGCAGAGTAGTACGAGTTTTTTCTCGTCAGTTCTTTCTTTGGGCCTGTGCACACATCATTATATGACTGACTGGTTACTTCTGGCACCATCTCGTCAGTTGGCAGGCCAATACACCCAGATTCCCTTTTTTGAAGCCACCAAGGCAGGTTTCCTTATCAGAGTCAAGAAATCTATTCTATTGCCGACTCAATACCTTGTCCATCTTTTTGAACACATACTTAAGTCAGGCTCAGCTGACTCCCATCAGGCTCCAAGCTATGAAATAAGCAATCAGGCTTTTACTTGCATCTCCTTCAAATTTCTCATTCCTTTGGAACAAGCACATATGCAATTCCTTCAGTGGTCACTGCACAACCAATGGCTCATGAATTCTGATCCACTGGAATCATTCGGTCTCCTTACTCAGGAGCAATATCTTAGTTCTCGAGTGGTGGTTGGATTGAAACAACACTACCATCAGTGTTCTTCTAACTCCTCCTCCTCTCAAGATTCATCTTTTTCACAGGTGCATCACTTCAGGGATGGGGGAGTGTATATCCAAGGTCAGGAATTCTAGGGTATATGAACGGATGACAAGCCTTCCCTCCACATCAACATTTTGCAACTACTTGCTGTCCAACAGGCAATGGTTCAAGGTCTGCCTCTTTTGAAGGAAAAAAAATTCCACTGTGGTATCTTATATTTCACAACAAGGGGCATGCATTCTCAGGATCTTTGTTTTTGAACTTTGAATCTTCTCTACTGGGCTCAATCACATCATATCAGTCTTTGGCTTCCAAGGATAATGAACTTAATAATGGATCATCTGTCTCGGCCCAGCTGGATTTTCCCGACCGATTGGATGTTACATCATGAGGTTCTCCAGTGGATTTGCTCTCAGTTTGGGGTCTCTAATGATTGACTCTTTTGCCACTGATTGGAATTCTCCCAGTACCTCATCCTCATGCTTTGGCAATAGACACATCTATATGCTTTCCCCTGATTCATCTGTTGCCCAGAGTTCTGGCTATGGTTTGCTTCACTCCTCGTTGAGTGCTATTGGTAGCCCCATATTTTCTGGCCCAAACATGGTTTCCTCTTCTTCGGTATCTTCAAGAGTGTCCACTTCTGCCACCTTGGCCATCTCTATTGAGACATCCTCAATCTGACATTTTACACTTAGACATTCTGAAGCTCAAACTTCATGCTTGAAGGTTATGCAGTCCCTTACACGACATAGGGTTTTAACTTATAAAGTTGCTTTGTATTTGACTAAATCTCTTCGTAGACCCACTATGGCCATTTATCAATGGAAATGGCACACTTATCACCTGTGTTTATCAAATGGAAATTAAACCCATTTCACCCAAATGTGTCTACCATATCCCATTTTTTGTCTTGGCTTTTTGAAAAAGGTCCTGCTTCATTTACTATTGCCTTAAATAGTTTGTCCTTATTTACTACTTTTGAGTATTCTAAACATAGGAAGGTTTTTGACCCCCCAGTGATATCCGGTCTACTTGACTCTTTTTGTGTCCTTTAGCTCAAAAGGCTTTTTTCAGTTACCTAACTGAGATTTTAAGGTCATTTTACATGTGTTGTCTCGTGATCCTATTGAGCTTTTAGCCTTTTGTTCTGTGCACTACATTTCTTTTAAGATGTATTTTTTGTTGCTGGCATGTGGATGTTGTTGGTCTGAGTTGTTTGCATTGCATGTACACAGGACTATTTATCATTCTACCTATGTTCTGCTATTCCCAAATAGGTCCTTCATTCTGAAGATTCTGGCAGCCAGAGAAGGGGATAAATCCTTCTCACCAATTCAGTTGCCAGCTATTTCTCACCTTTACAACCACTCGGACCATGATCGTTTGTTATATCTGGTCAGGACTCTCAGGTGTTATGCAGCTTGCACTAACTCCTTTTGATATACTAGGAATTGACTGTTTATTCATTGGGATCCTTTAGTTTCCTATAATTTATCCCCAATTACCTTGATGAGGTGGCTTCACAAATTAGTCCACATTACCTATTGTGGACTGTCTTTACAGGAGAGGAAATTGCTGCGAGTCTTCAGAATCGTCATATTTCTATGTCTTTAGCTGCCTGTTTGATTTGCCCACTGGAGGACATTGTGCGGGCTGGTATGTGGACTTCTCCAAATACCTTTCACCCTCTTTATTTACACAATATGGCAATTTCTTCTTCTGATGGTTTTTGTCTACCGCCTATAGCTGTTCTCACCATATGTGCTTGATTTTAACGAGAGGTATTTTTTTCCCCCTCTTCCTGTGGTTTTTTTTCTCTGGATCCCACTCTGTGGTGTGTGTTGCCCAGGCAGGTATGCTCTTATCATTCTAATTCCTCACTAGCAACCACTTTTTCACTATTATTATTATTATTACTGGTTGCAATAAGATCTGTACAATGAGGTATTCCATAAGGCCACCTAGGAGCTCACAAAGTGGTATTAATATTTTATGCTGGACCGCCACTCATGGACTATCATGAGTAAGGCTAAAGGAGATCCTGCTCGTCCCTACCAATCTTCAGATTGAAGATATTGGGGTCAGTTTGCTTTTTAAAATCTAGGGAACTTGGTTCATCTATTGAATTGTTTATGGAAAACTGTTCCTCAGGAATTCCCAATGCACATTACCCCCCAGATTCTACTAGTGGAGCTAGGGAGTCCTAACCACACTCAGTTTATAGTCAATGGGGTGGTGGACAAAGGTTTTTCCTCCAGAGTGATTGAGTGAATTCCTCCACCCTTGGAGAAGAGAGCAAAGCTAGGGGGCCTCTTATCCATGTCCCTGAATGTTTTTCTCAGATGTAGGTAAGGTTCAGATTTGATGCTCGTCTATTTGGTTGAGGTGTACCTGGCCTTTTTTTATCAATCTCAGTTCAGTACATTGTTCATAATAGGGGTCCACTATCTCCTCATTATTTGGAATGCAGAGTGGTCCCATCCTGGGTCCTTGGTTGAACACGGTGGTTCCACGTCCTCCCTCCTCATAAGTCCAGGGGAAAGTGGAATGCTCCTTGCCCTCTCAGATGGGGAATGAGGATGCATGTTCATAATTCCATACCTGATGAGTTCTGTTCCTTTGGTTGAGGCATACACGATCCCATCATTGTGAGCCTGAGGAGTTGCCTTTTGGGCTTCTTCAAGTGGTGGAGAAGGTTTATCCACTTTGGTGTTACTTACTTTCTTGTTATGAGTGTAGTGGTTCTGAACGTGTCATCCTATGGCTACAAGTTGGGATTTGATTGATTATATATATCTATGTGTTGTTGCAGTCCAATTGCCTTAGCCACCAAAGTGGGATATGGGAACCAAGACCCCTTAAGTCCAACCCCAAGTAGTGAAACCTCAGCTATCTGGTTGGGGCTGACCTGTAGTGATAATAATTCATGTATACTTTCCACCCTTGATACAGGAACTAATTTCCGGGTGAAGAGCATACCTGTTCTGGATGTAGTGTAGTTCCCCACTCGTATACCAATCTTATCCTGGTACATGTTCTATACAGATACTTTCTGTATGGATATTGCCCTCACCAGACCCTCAACCTTCTCAATGTGAGATTCAAGCTATAAATGTCAGCAGAAGGTATGTATGTTTTGGAAGTTAACATTTTCTTAAATTGAAGAATAATAAATGAAATAATACTTACCTCCGCTTAGAGAAGAGAAGTGAAGAGTATCACGAGACAAATATCACCAAGGGCAATTGAGTGGGGTATAAAAGACTGGAGTGAGCAAAAAAAATCAGACCAATGCTTTTATGAGCAAAGATGTAGAAACTCTGTAGGTTGAGTGATAGCTCTAAGTGTTAGTGAGGGTAAGTATTATTGGAAACACATTTTCAGTTTAGGAAAATGTTAACTTTTGGTTCATATTTATGGGTAAATTGGTTGGAGGTAGTTGATTCGTACAAAGTGTAACAAATACGGTTATTTTTATTTGTATAACTTTTATTAATAGCTATCATAAAGGTATGTGTTAGATTGGTTTTATAGTTTGAATTGAAATAACCATCCAGATTGTAGCACTGAATATTTGATTATAGTGTGCAGACTTGGTAGTGCCATAAAAGGAATATTTATACTTGTTTGTATACACACCCAGAGGAGAGTAGATTCATGTAATTTGATGTTTAACAATCAAGCATGTGTATTTATTATTGTGGTTATATTGCAGGACATTGTTTTAGATGTTAGAGATACTAAAAAGTAAAAGTACATAAAAACATCATGCTTTTCAGTGATATTAATAATGTATATGCTAAGTAGAGAAAAAAAAAGAATTAAGGCTTATATTTCTATTTTTGGTCACTTTACTTAAGCATGGCACAAGCATGGAACTTTTCCCATGTTTCTTTTGAGATTTTTAATGATATTCTAACAGTTTTTACAACTGTCATCCTCACATTTTGGCTATTTTATTTCTCATACTATTTTTCTATGCTGACTATTGTAGGAACCCAGAGCATATTTTGAGCATATTATAAAAAATTTAATTTAAGACACAAAGCTAGCTCTAATTGCTGTAACTTGTTTACAACTTCTCAGTCACTTTCAATATGTTTTCTAGCAGGAATATAAGTCAATTACATATTGTTCAAAGAACTGAAGAAATATGTATGCGGAAACACATGTAGGTTATGTAATTAGGAAAAAAGACACACAAGTCACTGAAAAAAATCAGCTTAAGGAGTAGCAAGAGGTGTCATACATGCAGTCACCATAGATACTAGTAGGAGTGTTGGGAAGATTTCAGCACTATAGCTGAGACTAAATGAAACACATTTATTTTATAATGTTGGTTTTATGTTTGAGCATTTTTGATTAAAAAAAATTAATTCTGAATTTTATAAGGTTATGCAAATATTGCTTTCATATTTTTTATGAACTCTGCATTAAAATGTTCTATAACTCTTACTGATACAATTTTATTATACACACAAAGACAGTAGTAGATTTATTTAATATATGTTAACACTTGTGTGTTTAGCATCATGAAAAACAACTCATGTCAGTGTTATATGTTCGGGCACTTGACCCTCAATCTGAGGTTCGGAGGTTCGAATCCCTTCGATTAATATGTTTACTCTTTCAACCTTTGGGGGTATTATAATGAGACAGCCACTCCCACTTTTCATTCATAAAGAGTAGCTCAAGAGTTGGCAGTGGGTGATGTTGACTTTCTGCTTTTCCTCTGGTCTATCACTTCTAAATTAGGCACAGATAGCTCTCGGGTAGCTTTGTACAAAATTCAACAAACAAACCCCACGAAATAAACAGAATTATGTTACCAATGATAAGAAATCAGTTTCAAATTTCCTTGAAGAGTAACAGATAAGAAAAAACTTAGTTCAAAGTGAACCTATTTTTGATGGAAAACAAGACAACCTTTATATTAACTGTTTGTGACTAGCACATAATTTAAGATGTGACAAACTTAATATATAAACTATAAATTATTTAAGTGATGAGTGGTAGGTGATCCTGGCATGTTGTTTCCTAGTTTAAGAATTAGCCATCTATTTTATAATTATATTTATCCTTATATGAGCTAGAAAGGTTAAAGGTAACAGAAATATCATTTTAATTTTTAAAAATGTGCCCATTATGTTTAGCAAAATGTAAGTAGTTTTATATTTTATACCAACTCTTAACTAATGTAGACTTAATTAAAAAGTTGCATAGGTAGAATATTTAAGTATTTTTTTCTGGTTCCTAACAGCTTATCATGTAGTCTACGTGTACTGTGCTGTTAAGGGAAGACAAGGATATGAATTCCACAACCTTCCACTCTTCAATTAGTTTCTGATTATCATGTTCACCAAAGGAAACTGCTATCATCAAATTCCATTGGTTTGATCTATTCTTTCTGCCAGCTAGGTGTGAGGGAAGATAAAAGTTCAAGATAATTGAGTTATGCCAATTACGAAAATTCTGTCTTCCTCGTACTTGAAAGATTTGCACATAAACAGTTTATTGCATGTTTTTTGTACTTTTTTTTGGTATTTAAGTAACAAGAAAAACAATAATAAGCTTTCTAAGATGTGTTCCTTACATCAAAAAAGCTTTTTAGTATTTGTGATATTAGGAAATTTTAGAGAACTCACAAATAATTTTTATTGATATTATACAAGTTATGAAATTTATGTTGAAAAATGTAAGACACATGAAAACAAAAGGAATAGTGAAATCAGTCCATTTTTTTAATAGGAAATAGGTGTGGTCTAGTTACACTTCATTATTTTCTACAAGGTTAAAACAAAATGTTATTTTTACAATAGTTTTAAAATCAGTACTCATTATTTTTGAAAAACTATAGGATTTTAGTGCTTCGTTACAGTTTAAAAATTGTAACATTTTGGACTAGCCTTGTACAACTAGTCACGTTGTCTCAATCTTGCCAAAATTGTAGAAAGTCACATCTAAAGAAGTTCCTGTTTTTTAAAGAACAGTATATAAGTACTGGTTAGTTTCAAGTCTCATCTAACAAGCTTCCTGGTTTCTAAAGAACAGTACATAAACACTAGTTAATGTCAAGACACATCTGAGAAATTTTTTTTAGTTTCAAAGGAATGGTATGTAAGTACTGGTTACTTTTAAGTCGCATCTAACAAATTTCCTGATGTATAAGGAACAATATATAAGTACTAGTTACTTACATTTCAAGTTTGATATATACATACTCTAAAATTTGAATGTACAAAAAGAAACAATTGACTAGTCATTTTGAAATGAAAAGTTCATATTTTGCATATACGAACAAAAACAGTCAAAGTTAATAACAAAAAAATAACAGTCTTTGTTATTTAAGTGATAATGATATATTATCTAACATTGTAGAAAAATATGGTAATTTATAGGAGAGAAAGCTTACAGAGAAGAAATCAGAATTATCATACTTTACAAATGCATGGATATCAAGCCAAAAATTTTATTTAGATTTAATGAAGACATTGTAACATTTAACATACTTGTTGTCACAACAGTACAGCCATGCTACATTAATGTGTGGATTATGAACTCAATGAAAGCATTGATATGTTTAACATACTTGTTGTCACAATAGAACAGCCTGAGAAAAATGCTATGCTACATTATTGTGCATATTATGAACGTAATAAAAGCATTGATATGATTAACATACTTGTTGTCACAACTTTAGAAAAATGCTGCTACATTATTGTGTTGGTTATCATGCATCTGAATTCACATTAAGAATCTATTTGTAAGGATAAACCTTTTAATCAAAATATGATATCCAGTTCATTTATTTTTCAAAGGTCACTGTAAACTGCAAGCATAAGTACTGTATATTAAAGCTTTCTTTTATTAGAAACATTTAGCAATGTGAAGTGGTTCTTTTCTATACCCTCCCTTAACCTTTTTTTTTTATAATTACAAATGATAGGCTACTTCATGAAATTGAGCAGTGCATTGAATACAAAGCATAAGGCAGTATATAAATATTAAAATATTTTAATGCATTATAGTTTTACATTTTTGGGTGTAATTTTAAAAGTTTGTAGTAAAACTGGTTTTTAGTTTGGCTTAGGAACCCTATAAGTTTAGAATTACCTAATAAACTACATATTCATTATTTTGTTATTTCAGTACCCTTCAGTGCAGCTCATTATTAGAGCTGAGCAATTTATTGATAAGCAGTTAATTGACTCATTAATTGATTACATTCAAATATTGATTATTACAAAACAACTGGTTGGAGGTTGTGTAGCTTTGTTAAAACAAACAAATATAATTCCAATTCTTTGATTACTTTGATAGTTGGAATAAATGGAAACCTAATTTTGATTAGTTGATTACTTATGTGAGTTTTGACACTAATTAGTTAAGTTGAATAAAGTTGATTTAATTGAAGATAAGTATGAATAAAAACATTATGGCAGTATTTAGAATAATTGAAGACAGTAATAATTGGAAGCACTAATTTTGATCAGTTAATTATTTTTGTGATATCAATCAATTTAATTTTAATTAATCAACTGTTGGAATAATAAAAAAAACTAATTTTGATTAGTTGATTATTTTTGTGACCTTAAAAATTTCATGGTTATTTCAATTAATCAGTCATTGGAATAGTTTCAAATTGCAATAATTGGAAACACTAATTTTGATTAGTTAATTATTTTTGACATTTTCCATCTTAAGCATAATTTTGAATAATTTATTGTTTTGCATGACACTAATGGATTTAATCACCCAGCTCTATTCATTACACACTTAATTCAAAATAACATTGTAATTTGTTCACACAATAGATTAAAAGTGAAATATGTCAAAAACTTAGAAAAACAATATATATATATATATATATATGGTACTGCTTGAAAGAAAAGAAGGTGAAAAAATTACTAGTTTAAGTAACCTTTGAGCTCCCCCCACCTTTTTAGAAATTCAGAGAAGTCCAAATAGAACACAAAAAGTGAGTAAAAATGTATAGGAATATATTAAGTAGTGTATTGCTAACATTTAAGTAGTGGCTGAATACTGACACAAAACAGTCACATAATAAATAAACTCAGTATTCCAAAAATTGTTTACTTTCAAAGTTTAAGTTCAAGGGAGGTCCAGTTCAATCTACACTTTTATCAACATGTGTTATTGGGTTATACTAGCTTTGGAGAATTCCACTCCTCATCAGTGACCCTAAACACAAGTTAACCAAAGACAGATAAGCTGGACCTATATCACAGTGAAAAGTATCAAATGTACTGTTGGTATGGACATGCTTTGAAGTCACTATGAGTAAAACCTATACACTGGATAGGTGAAGTGAAGTAAAAATGTCATTGGCCACTATTCAGTTCTTCACATTATATAGCCGTACATTAGCAGATATAATAAATAAATTTGGTATTCCAAAAATTGTTTACTTTCAAAGTCGACAAAGCACATTCACATCAACAGTGTTTGAAAACATATTAATATGTTTACATATTTTACTAAAAGCACATTTTTGTAAAATGGACAATATTTGAAATTGGAAGCTTTAAATATTTTCAAAACTTCTTTTTGTGTTTTTATTGTAATTTTCACTGTGAGTTACCTCGTTTGTTTTCCAGATATCAGGTTTAGCTATATCAGATGTTTTCAGCATGCAAATGTTTTAATTTCATTTATTTCTTGCTGAATTTTCAAGAACCTATACTGTTTTTGTCAAGAAATAAATGAATTCATAAATTAAAAAAAAAACTCACTTTGCACTATTTCCTTAATATATACTGACCAGAAGTAAACTTTTTTTTCTTTTTCTTTACTCACACATTATTATCTTGAAACACTACTACTAATATGACACTTGAGATGGCTTCCAAACATATAAGGTGTAAGGTTCATATACTGTTAAAAGCTTATGCTGTGTAGGTGTTCATTGCTGAAATATAAAAGTTATTTAGTATTTGTACAGGACTTGATCAAGTAATGGTGAATTATATACAAAAACGTTGTTTGATTCTGCTATAGATATCTTGTGTATCCATGAAAATATTTTTATACCAATAAACTATGCTTTTTTTTGTATTCTTGGTTATCTTTTATTGATATTTATTTTTGGTTATTTTCATTCAAATTGTTTCTAATCTGTATGAATCTTTTGAGAACTTGTAGAGTGTTATTGTCAAATATTTTAAAAGCCATCTGTTCTTTTTTCATTCAGGTTTTAAAGAGACACACACTGGTTTATAGCTGAGAAATTTAGTTCTGTGTTAACAAAAATTGTATATAAGTTGTTTTTTTGAGTGTTGGGAAGAGAGTGGACGATTTTTTAAAATTTCAATGCTTGTTTTGCAGCTCGGATAGAGGTTTCTCTCTTTCTTTTGATATATAACTCTTTGAAAAGATAATTATTACATTCCACAGATTTGTTGTGATGAACTATGATGGATAGAAGAAACAATATATATAACAAAGATGAATGAAGCTTAGGAAAATTTGATTATTTGATAAATTTATATTCTCCTATAATACTAATTGATAGTATTAAATTATAAATGATTTTATTCTCAAATTTAGATGATTGTTATTTAGGGCCCAACTGAGTTTAGGTAGGGACCTTGATCAGTTTGGGCTTTGATATTATAGTCTGCATGTAATATATTACTAAAATTAATCTGAAAATTTAAAGAACCGTTGTTTAATTTTTTCACAGTTTGCATTTGGATCAAGACTTAATACAATTATTACAGGAATTAATATAAACAATATGAAATACCTGTGTTCTGCTGCAGGGTTCAAAGGCCTCTTCATGATTCACAGAGGTCTGAATGTACTGATAAAGCTCCTCCATTACTTGATTAATTCTATGGTTACCCAGATGAGGGGGGGGGTCTTTATTAGGAAACCTGTTTCATGGTATCTAAGATAGCTTCTGAGTGGGGGTATTAACACAGTTCAAACATGGCACCCTTGGGATCCCTAGGGAGTCAGTAACACAAAATCTGATGTTGGATTAGGGTTCACCTGAAAACCTACTCATAAACCACCATCATATTTGGTGACCTTCAGGACATGTTTTAATCATATAGAAAAGAACACCCCTGTGCTACCCCAAGTCTATATGCCAAGCTTGGTTCTGCTAGCTCCAAAACTGTGGGAGGAGTCTGTGGACATGAATTAATATAGGAATAATAACACTAAATTAATACAGACTATCTTGCTCTTTAGTTTAAATCACTGGAATGGTTTATTTATAAAATCAAATCAATAATAAGTACAGTTCAAGAACCATATTTTGTCTTATGTGTGTCTGAAGTTAGGAATTAGTTTCCATGTACTACGAAATCTGTGGGAAAAAAAAGGGGGTATTACTATGAGTTTCCTTGAGTCTAAGCAGCCAGAATTATTGTTTCACTGTTTTTCCAGCACATTATAAACCTAGAGTAGTATATAGTTCAGTAGTATTGTGTGATTAGTATTTGTATGAATATGCTTTATTTTCAGTATATTTTAGTGGTGTTATTTTTCAGTAATGCTTTATATATTTCTGTTACGTGTGATTTTGCAGTTAAAGTTGTATATAGTGTACATATGTTTATCACTGAAAACTGAAGTGTGTTTTAACAAAAATAATTATCTTTTTATGGATAGACAAGTTTGTACCTAAACTGAAATAAAGTTCTCAATTCAACTTTTCTTTTTTGTCACAATGATCAATATATGGCAAATTTTTCCTCGGCACACTGCCATCACAACTTGAATATTCGTGAAAATATATATTTGTGTGTATGTATATGCTAACTGTCATTTTAAAACCATGTAAGTCCATTGTTCTTGGATTATGTTTTGTATGGAAATACTCTGAGAAATATGTTGCCCCCACATTCTGTTTTCCCTTCAATTAGAGATGGTATATTTATCAAATTATCAAAACTTTGTAATTCATATGACCTAATTTTTGTAGTTTCATAATCACATATCTAAACCTGTTAAATTAGACTTTTGGATGTACACAAATCTGACATGAAAGCAGTGATATGTATGTATGTATATTCACACACACACACACATGTACAACTTTATGAAGAATTTGTTAGTGATAAAAATTATAAATGACTGATAACTCAAAAAAAAATGACACTTGATATTTGGATTATATACAATTATTAAAGATGGTGATGCAGTTTTGTGAGTTAGTGGAAATAAACAAGATGCATAATTAGTGGATTCTTTGTATATTACTTTAATATTAAGAAGAAAAGTTCATATATATACAGTTATAGCCTATTACACGTATTACTCTTTACATAACTTACGCATGTTTGGGACTTATATTTCCAGTGGTTGAATTAGATATTTATATTTAAGAGATTCACCTGTTATAAGTAACAACAAATGTCTGTTCTACACCAGGATGGAGCTTTAGCAACAAAATTGAATGTTTATTAATTTGTTTTAATAACTAACATATCAGTAAAGTTGTGTGGTTATAATTGTGATAATTTCTTTATCTTTTCTTCAGGTCAGATTAAAAACCATGATCTTTCTTTTACACCAGATACTAACATAATGATACTAATCCCAATGTTTTGATCAACTGATTTATTGAAAATCCATATATTGATTTATAATTTTACGTAGCTCTGCATCAGTAATAGTCAATCTGAAACCATTGTTTTTCATTATCAGGCTGCATATTTATACAGCAGTTAATATTCCTTGTACATTTTAACACTTTTTGGATATAACAATATATAAAGGATAGTCAACTTTCTTGGTTCGTACCCACAATACAAGTCTTTTAGACGATGAGGTTTTAACTGTTTTATCAACTCGTAGATTTATTGGATTAATGTAAGTTGATGTTTATCAAAGAAGTAAAAACATTGTGGTATACATTTGCCCAAATGCCTTTATATCACTCCAGTATGCTGAAACCCTGCTTCACCCCACTGCTCCAGTTAATGTTGCTGACAAAACTGTTTTGATATGTATCCTCTTATGTATAATATTAATACATATAAATATATATGGGTGCCATATTTCTAAACATTGTCAATAGGGGAAGGTATTATAGTCTATTTTAGGTAATATTTTCTTATAATACAATAATGTCAGTATTATTACATAAATTGTTTGGGGATTATTACCATGATGTAGAAATATGGGGGGGGGGGGGATCTGGGCAGGGGTATAATTTCTAAAAGCTGGTTTGGGTGTTCTGCTAGATGATATTTTAAATGAAAATAATCTACACTTTTTCAGAAATGTTATAAGATAAACTGTTCAAATGGCACTGATCCTGAGCAATTTTTCATGAGCCCCCAATACCTTAGTTGTAAGTCTGAAGGTGTATAATGTTAAAAACTGGGTTTTGATACCCATTGTGTAGCTTTGTGCTTAACATTGACAACAACAACTTGGATATGATTAAACTACTCCATATTAATCATAAGCTAATGAGATGCAAATATATATATACTTAAAATCCCAGTCTTATGAAAGTTTTGTTATTTGTAAATTCTGTTTCTTTTATTTGTAGTTTGGGCATTTATAAATTGGCACATGTTAAACTACAGAAATTCAATGACTGAAGCACAAGTGATTATAAAGAAAGTTTTGCAGTTCAGTGCATCATATCTCACAAACAATAAAGTATAGAAAGGTGAAATTGCACAAAGATATCATGTGAATGCAAATGCCACAGTTGTCACATG